TTTATTTTATTTTGAGACGGAGTTTCGCTCTTGTCGCCCAGGTTGGAGAGGTTGGAGAGCAATGGCGCAGTCGTGGCTCACTGCAACCTTCACCTCCCAGTTTCAAGCGATTCTCCTGCCTCAGCCTCCTGAGTAGCTGGGATCACAGGCATGTGACACCGCACCCAGCTAATTTTTATATTCTTAGTAGAGACGGGCTTTCACCATGTTGGCCAGGCTGGTCTTGAACTCCTGACCACAGGTGATCCACCCACCTCGGCCTCCCAAAGTGCTGGGATTACAGGCGTGAGCCATTGCGCCTGGCCCATTTTACCCTTTTAATGGCTATGCAGGCCCTCTTAGTGTCAGAGGGGTTTGAACCAGAGCGAGCCCATCTTGAATAGGGGCTGGGTAAAATAAGGGTGAGACCTACTGGGCTGTAGTCCCAGGAGGTTAGGCATTCTAAGTCACAGGATGAGATAGGAAGTTGGCACAAGGCAGAGGTCACAAAGACCTTGCTGATAGAACAACTGTGGTAAAGAAGCTGGCCAAAACCCACCAAAACTGAGATTGCCATGAAAGTGACCTCTGGTCATCCTCACTGCTCATTGTACGCTAATTGTAATACAGTAACATGCTAAGAGACACTCCCCCCAGCACCATGACAGTTTACAAATGCCATGGCAACATCAAGAAGTTATGCTATATGGTTTGAAAAGTGGAGGAATCCTTTTCCGGGAATTGCCCACCCCTTCTCAGAAAATACACGAATAATCGTTTAGCATACAATAAAAAAATAAGTGAAAGTATAATTAGTCGAGCAGCCCACACTGCTGTTCTGCCTATGGAGTAGACATTCTTTACTCATTTACTTAATAAACTTGCTTTCAGTTCACTCTGTGGACTTGCCTTGAATTCTTTCTTGGGTGAGGTCCAAGAACCCTCTCATGGGGTCTGGATCTGGACCCCTTTCCAGTAGCATAAGAGTGCCTTGCACACAACTGGTTCTCGATAAACAGAAGGGTGTTTGATGGAAATATGGAAGGTTTGGGCCTTCCATTCCATCTTGAAGGGTGTATTCAGACTGAAACTTTTGAGTGAACTGTTTCTTGTCCCAGTTTCAAAGATGAAAGATACTAAGTTCCCTTCTGACTTCCTTCTCCAGTATGTCTTTGCTCCTCCTTCTCTCTACTGCTCTATTCCAATGGCTCACTGCAAGCTCCACCTCCCGGGTTTGCGCCATTCTCCTGCCTCAGCCTCCCGAGTAGCTGGGACTACAGGCACCCGCCACCTCGCCCGGCTAGTTTTTTGTATTTTTTAGTAGAGACGGGGTTTCACTGTGTTAGCCATGATGGTCTCGATCTCCTGACCTCATGATCCGCCCGTCTCGGCCTCCCAAAGTGCTGGGATTACAGGCTTGAGCCACCGCGCCCGGCCCCAGCTGGATTATTAAGTGGTCTTCCCCGCAGAATGCAACTGCACATCTAACTCATATTCCTGAGTAAAACCAGGAGCCGGGAAGAGTTTTACTGAATCCTGTGCCACACGCTGCCTCATGTGCCAGAGAGCCTTATACCATTCACCAGGGGATCTTGAAAGACCAGTGAAGCAGGAAAACTCCCCTTGTCCCCCGCACAGAGTGTGCAACAGGGGGAGTAGCTCACTTCTTCGATGCCCAGCTGCTCAAACCTCTAGGGGAGCATATAAGGTGGGCAGGTTGTGGGGCTCCGACCCCATGACAGCTTCTGGGGAGAATATTGACAGCTCCTGAAGCCCCAGTGGGCATGCGTTACATACAGAGTGCTCTTTTAATTTTGCACTTTTAGTTTTCCATTTATAGGCTTGTGTTAACCAGCTCAATTACACCCTCTCCCTTGTTGCAAAGACAGAAGGCTTTCTGTATTGCCTTTGTATACCAGAAGAATCAGATCACACCTGGGCTTGGAGAATTAGTGCAAGGTTTTATTGAGTGGAAGTGGCTCTCTGCAGATGAGAAAGCCAGCAGGGAGATGGCTTTTTCCTTGGCGTTGGGCTGCTCCACAGCCTAACTCTCCTCCAACCACTCAGGCCAAACTCTGCATCGTGTGTCTGGAATTTGTGACTTCTTGGTTTCACTGACTTCAAGAATGAAGCCGCAGACCCTCACAGTCAGTGTTACAGTTCTTAAAGATGGTGTGCCTGGCGTTTATTCCTTCAGCTGTGCAGATGTGTATGGAGTTTCTTCTTTCTGGTGGGTTCATAGTCTCGCTGGCTTCAGGAGTGAAGCTGCAGACCTTTGCGGTGAGTGTTACAGCTCATAAAGGTGGTGCGGACCCAAAGAGTGAGCAGCGACAAGATTTATTTCAAAGAGTGAAAGAAGGAAGTTTCCACAGCATGGAAGGTTACCACAGCAAGTTGCCCCTGCTGGTTGGGGCAGCTTGCTTTTATTCCCTTATCTGACCCCACCCACATCCTGATGATTGGTCCATTTCACAGAGAGCTGATTGGTCCATTCTACAGAGAGCTGATTGTTCCTTTTTGACAGGGTGCTGATTGGTGCATTTACAAACCTTGAGCTAGACACAGAGTGCTGATTGGTGCATTTACAATCCTTTAGCTAGACATAAAAGTTCTCCAAGTCCCCACCAGATTAGCTAGATACAGAGCACTAATTGGTGCATTTACAAACCTTGAGCTAGACACAGTGTGCTGACTGGTGCATTTACAAACCTTGAGCTAGACACAGAGTGCTGACTGTTGCATTTACAATCCTTTAGCTAGACACAAAAGTTCTCCAAGTCCCCACTAGATTAGCTAGACACAGAGCACTGATTGGTGCATTTACAAACCTTGAGCTAGACACAGGGTGCTGATTGGTGCCTTTACAATCCTCCAGCTAGACATATAAGTTCTGCAAGTTCTCACTCGACTCAGGAGCCCAGCTGGCTTTGCCTAGTGGATCCTGCACCAGGACTGCAGGCGGAGCTGCCTGCCAGTCCCCAGCCGTGCCTGCACTGCTCAGCCTTTGGGTAGTAGATGGGACCAGGCTCCACAGAGCAGGGGCGGTGCCCCTTGGGGAGGCTTGGGTCAAGCGCCGGAGTCCACCGCAGTTGGGGAGCTCAGACATAGTGGGCTGTAGGTTCCAAGCCCTGCCTCGTGGGGAGGCAGCTAAACCTGGCAAGAATTTGAGTGCAGCACCAGTGCTGGCGTGCAGGCACTGCTGGGGGACCCGGCGCAACCTCTGTAGCTGCTGGCCCAGGTGCTAAGCCCCTCACTGCCCTGGGCCGGCAGCGCCTGCCGGCGGCTCCATCTGTGTGCCCGGCTAGTCTGCGACAGCGCCTGTTGCAACTCGCACTGGCTCTCCGAGTGCCCCCTGGTTGCTGCTGGTGCCTCTCCCTCCACACCTCCCCAAAAGCAGAGGGAGGCAGCTCTAGCCTCAGCCAGCCCAGAGAGGGGCTCCCACGGTGCCTTGGTGGGCTGAAGGGCTCCTCAAGCCTGTTAGAGTGGACTCCGAGGCGGAGGTGGCGCTGAGAGTGAGGGCTGCTAGCACATTGTCACCTCTCACTAGGGTATCAGGTTTTTATAGGCCCAGGATGGGAGCATGATGGGCCAGGGTGGTCTTGGAAAATGCAACATTTGGGCAGGAAGACAGGAGTTCCTGTCCTGGTCTAGATCCCTGGGGGTGAAGCCCTAACCAGGGACCACGCCTTCCTCTACCCAGCACTTCCCTTTCCACTTCGGTATCGTTTAAAGGGACCATGCTCTTCTCTTCCCAGAACTTCTGTATCACCAGGATGGGGATCCTTCAGATGGGGGAGCTTCGTAAATGCACTCTGGACTGAAAGCCCAACAGCTTTGGGGCCCAAACTGTCCATGGCTCAGAGGCGAATTTACTATCCATAGACATCTCCCTGAGAGTGAAGAGATCGAGTCCCTCACTGACTGAGCTCTGTAAACAACTGCTGTATTTGGCTGGGGCCCTGAATTATGCCATATGGTGCCCAGGCTCCTGACCAAGTCATAACCAAGACAGGACATAGCAACCCTCAAGAAAAGGGTCTCTTATGGGAGGCAGGGAGGTGGTCACCAAGACACAGAGAACACGTGTGGACTGAGAAAATTAACTTTAATGGGGCATTTAAGGCATATGGGAAAGCATTTGGAAGAATCACAATTTTCATGCTGGCTTCCCAAGTCCTTAAGAAAAAAATTCAGAAAAGGTCTCATCACCATTTGTGAATTGTGAAATAAACACATCTCCAGGGGAGTGCGTGGGTGTGTGTACATATTAATATTACAGGGGTGGGGGAAATATTGACACCGATGATTTTTGAAGTATTTGCAATTCCTGTCCAACTCAGACTGATCTGAAATGGGTGTGTTTCAAAGGCTCAAAGGCTGCCAGATTCCCTTTGAAAGGAAATGTTTCCTCCCATTACCTTTCAAAGTCAGCTCTCCGGAGTTTAGCCAAGAGCTGTATTTCAATGTGTTGATGTCACTTAACAAGAGGAAGAGGAAGCGTACCTCTCTGAGTGGGGTTTAGAGGGGACCAGGAGAGTAACTGCAGCCACGTTACAAGGAAATGTGCCTGATGACTTAGCTGGGGCTTTTGTATCTTCCCCATCTACTAATAATTTGCTAAATGCCTTTGCTAAATTGTCTTTTTTCTGCTCCCATTGTTCTATGTAACTGAAACAAGCGAGCATAGCATTGTCATCTAAGTCAATAATGGTCACAAAAGCGCTTTCTCTCCTTCTGCAGCAGACTGCCTGCAAAACATAAAAGAGGGTAGTGATGCACCCGAGCAAATTACCCTCCCAAACTCATTTAAATAACGCCTTCCCCTCATCTATGCAAAACTCAGATGAATATTTACAACGTCCAGGAATAGGTACCACAGGAAAGAAAGAAAGAAAAATAATAATAATAAAAAAACCCCCCAACCAACCCAACCTAATCCTGCAAGTGTAATCATTCTCAAAATGATCCCCAAACAAAGTGTTCTAGCTGTGGTTGCCCGGCAACAGTCCCACTGTAGTATTCTGCCTAGGTACACATAAAGTGGAGTCGTCTTTTCTGCACAGAGTGTGCACTATCAACGTAACAGCAGAGATGGAGAGCAAGAAGTGAGGAGGTTAAAAGTCAGGGTCAGAAGTTCAGGTTGCTCTGACCCTCAAATCAATTTCAAGCACTGTTTGTGACATTTTTCTGTGTTCCCTCGCTTGATGTTAGTCTTTGCAATGAACCACCGAATCAGACTTCAGGGATCATGGGACCTTGGGGTTTCAGTGGGGTCAGGTCAATTTCTACCTACCAGTGTACTGCCACCTATGAAGCAAACCATTATCTAGGCGTCTGAGAACCTCAAAGTCGTGAAACTCCGAGGGGAGAGAGAGAGGATGAAGTTGCTGTGGCCCCTGTGTCTTTGGGTCCTGCCATAGCTCAACCTGTGGCTTTAGGGGGACTGTGTGCAGGCAGGTCATAGTGTTACCAGAAAGGGATCCTGATCCAGACCCCAAGAGAGGGTTCTTGGACTTTGTGCAAGAAAAATTCGGGGTGAGTCTATAGAATAAAGTGAAAGCAAGTTTGTTAGAGAAGTAAAGAAACAAAAGAATGGCTATTCCATAAACAGAGTAGCCCTGAGGGCTACTGGTTGCCTATTTTTATGGTTATTTCTTGATTATATGCTAAACAAGGGGTGGGTCATTCATGAGATTTCTGAGAAAGGGGTGGGGATTTCCTTGAAACTGAGGGATCCTCCGGTTTTCAGACCCTATAGGGTAACTTCTTGATGTTGCTATGGCATTTGTAAACTGTCATGGTGCTGGTGGGAGTGTCTTTTAGCAGCTAATACATTATAATTAGCATATAATGAGCAATGAGGATGACCCGAGGTCACTTTCATCACCATCTTGTTTTTGGTGGATTTTGACCGAAATTTCTTTATTGCAACCTGTTTTACAGCAAGGTCTTTGTGACCTGTATCTTGTGCCGACCTTCTGTCTCTTCCCATGACGTAGAATGCCTAACCTCCTCGGAATGCACCTCAATAGGTCTCAGCCTCATTTAGCGCCCTGGTCAAGATAGAGTCACTCTGGTTCGAAGGCCTTTGGCAATAGGATTGGCAACTCTATTAGAGAAAGCTGGTCCCTGGCATGGGCATCTCTCCCAAGGCATTCTTCCAAAGGTACAGGGATCATTTTTTAGTCACCTTTTTAACAAATGCATATGTACAGGGGAAAAAGAAGAAGAAGTAAATCACATAAAATAATACATCCTCTTACGGCCTTAATCATTGGTCCTAATAGAGTTATGAAAGCATGGAAACATGAGGCTACAGTGTACTCAGGTCCACCCCCACCCCCTCCCCAGAGCTGGACATGATACCTAAGATGGTTCCAAATCTCATAGGACTTTTCCTTTTATTTCTAGATCATTTTAAGATAGTCTCATGCACCTAAGCAATAGATGACTTCATTTTTAATTGAGTGTTTTTCTTATTTATTGTTTATTAATTTATAATATAATTAAGGAGTTCTATTCACTACAAGGCACAATTATTTGGGGGGAGGGGTTCTCATAATTGCTTAATTTGTGACTTATCTTAGCAAAATATTAACAATACCCCTGAAAACTCCCACCTAAAATTTCCCCAAATATCTCTGTGATTAGAATAACTTTCCTGCTCAAAGATCTTTAGTGAGTACCCCATTCCTCAGAATAACATTTAAGCCCCCTAGTTTAGCAATTTTGCTGCCTGGCCCTAACCTACCTTTTTAAGGCTTATCTCCCACTACTTCCCTCTGTGAAGTCTGGGTTCAATCAAACCAAAAGTGCAGCTGGATAAAGCCGAAGCTGCACAGCAGGGGCGTCAGGGCATCTGCCTGCTAGTCAGCTCCCTCTTGATTGACAGTGTGATTGTGGGCAGGCGCCTTCACGTCTCTTGGTCTTCGTTTCCTAATAAATGCATTGGAGGAGTGAGACCAGGTGCTTTCTAAGATGTCACACGTTTAGACGCTGGCTTCTCCAAAGGGTTTTAGGCTGTTGACCATCCTGTCATTTCAGAAGCTTTCTTCTCTTGTATTTCACGATATTGTTCTCTCTTGGTTTTCTTTCTACTTCTCTAATGCTTCTTTTTTAGTTTGTTTCTCATGTAATGCATCCTCTGTTCCAGGATTAATATTGACAAGACCTGCCTTCAGCAATCCTCTCTTTCAATTTCCTGGATGATCTCAACCATAATAACAACTCTATGTAATGCCCCAGAGCCCATTTCTGTAATCTGCATCTCCATCTGAGAAGGCCCCACTGAATTCCAGTTACATGCTTCAACTCCACCAGACTTCTCCATTGGGGCGTCTCAGGCACTCCCATCCCAGGGTTTCCAAGCCTGAACTCATGATTTTTCTCCTCAAACTGGTTGTTCACCATACTTTACTCCTACATTTGGTTTAGTGTATCATGCAAGCCACAGACTTCGCAGTCATATTAGAATGCTACCTTTCCCTAACCTCTAACAGATATTCTCAGGTGAGTCATCAAAGTCTGGCCATTTTTTATTCCAATTAAATATCTCTTGAGTCTGTCCTTTCTTCTCCAACCCCACTGTCAATACCCTTGTAGAGACCTGACTGCTCTTCAGGTCTCCTAGCTAGTTTCTCTACCTTTAGAATGAGCAACCACCCTGAGGTCTTCATTCTGCTGCCAGTGCCATCTGTATAACATGAAGTATGACCAAGCCCTTTCTTTTCCGAAATCTGTTTGTGTTTCGTCATAGCCTATTGGGTGAAGTCTGATATCCTGAGCATGATGTACAAGGCCTTTGTGATTGGAGCTGTCTCATTTCTCTTGATCTGCCCTGTGCACCAGGAAGATGGCATTACTTTGAGTTCATGACTGGACCATGCTCTCTAACACCTCTATACCTTTTCAATGTGGCCCCCTCTGCCTAAAATAACCTTACTTACTCTTCTACTCCTCTGTGCTTCTCTAATGCCCTAGCTGTGCCTCTGTTTTCTGCTGTATTTTTTTTTTCTGTGTGAGTGTGTTTCCCACCATTGGATTGAAAGCTACTTGAGGTCTAGGACTGCCCTCATTTTTGCACACTTAGCTCACTAGTGGAAGGAAACTGACATTTATATAATTGTTGAAGGCTAAATGTGATGGCTCATGCCTGTAATCCCAGCACTTTGGGAGCCCAAGGCGGGAGGGTTGTTTGAGCCCAGGAATTCAAGACCAGCTTGGGCAACACAGTGAGACCTTGTCTCTACAAAAAAATTTTCAAAATTAGTTGGGTGAGGTGGCATATACCTGTAGTTTCAGCTATTCAGGAGGCTGTGGTGGGAGAGTTGCTTGAGCCTGGAAGGTCAAGGCTACAGTGAGCTATGGTTGCACCACTGCACTCCAGCCTGGGTGACAGAGTGAAACCTGTCTTAAATAAAAATTATAAAAATAAAAGAAAAAAATATATATACAAAACCGTTAAGGAAACGGTTGAATCTGTATGGTTTATTTATTCACTCTCTGATAAATGGGTCTTGCATTTTTCTTGAATGACTTCTCTATTTCTCTTTGACTTTCCATATAATGTTTAAATTTGAATATCTCATTCTTTCCTTGTCTAAGCCTTTTCCAACTATCCTAATCTAAAGAAATAACTTCATCTTCAGAAATATCATGTATTTAATAATTAATGTTGCCCATGTCAGTTCCTACTCCCCAGGTAAGGTATTCAAAGTGTTAACTTTGTCTTGCCCACAATGATTTGGCAATCATGGTCTTCAGAAAGTACCTCTTTCTGTATTGATTATTACTGGTGTACCTGGTTTACTAATGCCAGTCTTGTCATGTCTTTTTTTTTTTAAGACAGGGTCTCACTCTGTCACCCCAGTTGGAGTGCAGTGGTGCGAACTCAGCTCACTGCAGCCTCCTGGGCTCAAGCCATCCCCTCACCTCAACTCTCTAGTAGCTGGAACTACAGGTGTGCACTACCATGCCTGGCTAATTTTTTTGTACTTTTAGTAGAGATGGGGTTTCACCATTTGCCCAGGCTGGTCTTGAACTCCTGGACTCAAGCGATCCGTCCACCTTGGCCTCCCACAGTGTTGGGATTACAGGCATGAGCTACTGTGCCTGGCCATTGTCTTTTCTATTTAGTGCCATTTTTATATCACCACAGAGCGGTCACTTAATATCTTAGCCATAAAAAATGGAGCTGGTACCATTTCTTTTCTTCAGTAAGAGTCTGCTTGCTTCCCTTATTTGTTTGTTTAATATTTAAAGAAATAAAGCAAGGTGTCACAGTTACATTATAGAAAATGTTGCCATGACAAGCACTTATATTAAAGAAATTCTAGTCTTATCTGTGCTTTGATGATATGTATATTTTAATTAATCTTACAAGGGGAGCTCAGAGAAATTTTGGTTCTCAAAGCAGTAATATCAAAAGACAAACTCCAAATACGAGTGGTTTTGGAAAGCCGGCGGCAAGGAAGATGTGTTATTAAGATGTACTGGTTGTGTAAGAGCTGTTATTATTCATAATTCTGCTTTAGATGCTTAATATTTTCTTCAGAGGTTTAGGCAAAGATTATTGCTACATTTCTGCAGTCATTGGAAAAATCCAGTGTGAAACTTGAGACTAGGAATAGGTAAACCTTTTTAAAAAAGTAAGTTTTGGGTGAGGATAAGTATCCCACAGTACACTGGACATTTCATAGAACTTATCCGATGCCCTCTTGGGAGACTGTCAGAAATTTTGTAAATATCAGGAGAGTAGACTTTCCGGGGCTGCTTCCGTGCTCCACTTCTGCCTCTAACAAAAAGAAAAAATATAAAGTTATGCAATTAAAAAGGTGTTAGTTAAATCCTTTCAGGCCAGAATGGAGACTGGACTGGAGTTTGGGGTATATGTTTTATTTAGCCCTTAAATTTATAAAACAAAATTTTAATCTTTGGTGAAAGTTATATTCCTAGAAACCCACTGGAAAAAATGGTTGTTTATCACCTTAAAAATATGCATTATCCTTTTATTTAAGTGCTTTCAATGTGGAGTGCAATATTTTATATCTGTCTAAACTTTTAATTTCATAAAATCCCAACTTTTAATTTCATAAAATCCAGCTGGCCAAATGCAGCCACCACAATTGAAATTACCTTCTGACCTCAAGCCCCTTAGTTTAAGAAAGTTTACTGGGAGGGTTCAAAGGATGCATTGGAAGACTTTATGGAATAAAAGATGTGATCGGAAATGGCATTAAAAACTATGCTGGATTCTAATTTGTGGGGCTTGTGATATTTACTAACCTGGTTCATGAAAATTGGGTCTTGAAACTAAGACTTTCTTATGTGAAATATATCTAACTTTGCTTCCACTAAGTTTAACAGTACAATTAATAAAATCCTGTTCCTGCCTCCCCAGCTGATGGCACTAGAACTGAACTCAGAAGCTGCAGCAGTGGATGGATGATGATCTGAAGAAATGAGATCCCTGATGAGCTGGGAGTCAGGGTTCCTGTAACCATGATGTCACACCCTCATCCTGACACCAAGATGGGCAGGACCCATCTGTCACCCAAGGCAAACAAAATGCTTGGTCTGAATCTTTCAGAAGAAAACTAAAAATCGAGTCATTGCTCAGAATTTTGCTTGTGTGTGGCTTAAGTCTTCTTCTCCTGTTGAGGAAGGTGTTGAGTTTGACCATGACAGCCCCACCCAATCCTCGGCTCATCCCAGCCACCAGAGAGGATCTGGAGATTCGAGGCTATGTCATGGAAGACCTTGTCAGAGCACCAGGTCATACTGTGCTGCAGGTGGGGTTCGGGTGCCCAGTGACAACCACCGGGAACACTCATCCCTAAAAGTCTGTTGAACTTAAAGTTCTATGCAAGGCTTTCTACATTAAATACCCTTTCATATAGCAAAATCAGCCATGTTCTGAGATGTGAAACTGCAGCACAAATTACTGTGGTCTCCACCTATAGAAATGGAATGTTACTTCATAAAGCCCCAGGCCAAAAAAGAAACCCCCAAACTCTGAAATGACACCCTTAAATTTAACCCGAACATCTGGCCAGCCTCCTCCATCATTGAAACTTCTCCTGAGTGTTGGCATGGATCCTATGTTTCTCCAGCCAGGGAGCTTTGCTCCCCATTCTTGATGGACCCACTGAGTCCCAATTTTCTACATTTTACTTGGGTCACTCCTCCACTTTGGGATGCTTTTCTTACTTTGTTGTACTTTAAAAATGTTTCTTCTCTCCTGCACTCAGCTTCGCGCATTTGTCTTCTTTCTTGATTTAACTTGCTTAGCTCTCGCTACATCAATTCCTAGAGCCATTCATCTGTACTTCTGAATCATTTAAGTTTTGTTTCGTTGCAAGTAATGGAAACCCACTCTGAGTAACTCAAGCAAGAACTGGAATTTATTGGAAGGACAGTGGGATATATCATAAGATCCAAAAAGAATTGAACAAACAGAATTTCAGAGGGAAGAAAAAGGGCAGCTCCAGTGAGTTCAGCAACAAGACAACATAAATCTTTCTAAAGCATAGCTACTAATATTATTCAGCTGCAAGAGCCCCTACCCCATGAGAAACTTGATTGAAAATTCTGATTTCCTGCAGAGAAGAATCTGATTGACCCAGTTTAGTTTTGGTTGCCCAATTGCTCAATCTTACATGAATTATTTCCAGCCAAGGGGACAGGGTGTATTATAGGGACATACCTGCTTTCTCCAAAGAAAAGATCTCGGCATTTCCTGATCATTTCCCTGAGAAGGAGGAATCTTTGTGAGCCAAGAATATACCTCAAGTATAATGAACTCAGTTACACTTTTTTGAAATCTGAGTATTTGGTATGTAGTGTGCATTTTAAAAAAACATGTCTCTTTCCAGGATACAATCTTAACCTCTTCCATGGTGGAGTAGGGCTATGTGATTTTGTGCTCAATTTACCTAGCTGGTGGGCCTCCAGTAGAGGCTGAACCAGTCAAACCAGCTGATACCACATTAATTTTCCAAAGGTAAGTTTCTCTTGGCTAATATTCCTTCTCTCAACTTAAAAAACACCCACTATACACCGAGATACATTGAAAATTTAAAGGTAAATTAGACGTGATCACTTTTCTTAAGACATAAAATCTAGTAGATTTCCTATATAATGAATATTTTTTAATTTTCATTTTTAAAGACAAGGTCTCACTCTATCACCCAGGCTGGAATATAGTGGCACAATCATAGCTCACTCACTGCAACCTCAACTCCCGAGCTCAAACAATCCTCCTGCCCCTGCCTTCCAAGTAGCTATGACCACAGGCACATGTCACCATGCCCAGTTAATTTTAAACAATTTTTTTTTTTTTTTTTGTAGAGGCAGGGTCTTACATGTTGCCCGGGCAGATCTTGATCTCCTGGCCTTAAGCAATGCTTCTGCCTTGGCTTCCCAAAGTGCTAGGATTACAATTGTGAGCCCATGCACCCAACCTATATGAATAATATTTTAAGGATTTTTGATTAAAAAATACTTTCAAAAAGTTATCATTAGACCCATTTTGAAGATTCTCAGAAGCTGGGCAGTTTCTGCTTGAGTTATCAAGTGGCCTTCACTTTAGGCAAGTTTTTGGGGACTCACTGTAAAGTAGAGGACTCTGAGTGACCACATCTCTCAAATACAGTGTTTTTTATTATCTCCTGACATTTGGAGCTTAAGGAAATATACAATGACATGATTTTTTTTTCCTCTTAACTATCCAAGACAACATTGGAAGACCACACACGTCTCCACTTTATTGATGTTTTACATTGTGCTTGCAGGTGCTATCTTAGAGGTGTGATGTTGCTCTGGTACTATGTATATAAATGCTTTCTATGACTCAGGAATTCTATTGCATTTAAATGAAACTTGTTAGAGTAGAAAGAGACCGGAGTAAGCTGGACTTGGGTTTCAGTCTTTTCAACTTTACAACTTACTAGTTTTATGGCTTTGGCCAAGTTACTTCCTGAGACTTGGTTTCTTCATCAGCAAAGTAGAATAATAATAATACATGTTTTACACAGTTGTTACGGGAAATAAGTACGATAATATATGTGAAAGGGGCCAGGCACGGTGGCTCACATCTGTAATCCTAGCACTTTGGGAGGCCGAGGCAGATGGATCACCTGAGGTCAGGAGTTGGAGACCAGCCTGGCCAACATGGTGAAACCCTGTCTCTACTAAAAATACAAAAATTAATTGTGAGTAGTGGCACGTTCCTGTAGTACCAGCTATGTTGGAGGCGGGGGCATGAAAATTGCTTGAACTTGGGAGGCAGAGGTGGTAGTGAGCCGAGATTGTGCCATGGCACACCAGCCCAGGCAGTGAAGAGAGACCTTGTCTAAAATATATATATATATATATGTGTGTGTGTGTGTATATATATATGTATATATATATGAAAGGGCCTGCCAAATATGTGTGTGTGTGTGTGTGTGTGTGTATGTGTGTGAGAGAGAGAGACTGAGAGAGAGAGAAAGGACCTGCAAAATAGAAAAATCAGCATACATTTTCTTGCCTCCAGCATAGTAAAACCATGAATCTCCTTCCCTGGGCCTCCATCTCATTATAGATGCCTCCTCTGTGTCCTAGCCTGCAAAGACAAGCAGCTCAGGGAGGATGGGCAGGTGGGTTCCTATTCCTTCCAAGGCAGCCCAGCTTGATAGTATCTAATGATTTCTGAGGCTGCATGGCCATAGGCAGTCAAACCCTGGGTATCTGAACAGAAGGCTGAAACCATAGAATCATGTCCCTGTGACTGTTGGCACAGCTTTGTGTATTCTATAGAGGCTTACTGTATAGTTTATTTCAACACACAGACAAAGATGCTTAATGTAAGGAACCGCTACAGGTTAATCAATCAATGGCTCCTCTAGTGGTTTTCATTTTTAAAAACAAGTGGATGAATAAACAAATTTGGCCTTGGGATGCCATTCAGCTCAAAGTCAGTGGCAATCACAAATGGCTTTAATAAATGAAAGAGATATTTTGGCATAGCCCATTGAGGCATATGAAGAGCAATGCCCTTGCCAGTATCATAGAGTATATTAGATACTCTGCGTTAATTGCTTCTTATGAATGGAAGGGATGTAGGAAATGGAATTTTAATTTGTACATTTAAGCTATGCGATTGAAGTTGAAAAGGTCTTTGTGACCTTATGGATTTGAAAGAAAAAGAAAACCTTTTTTCTTTCAAAAGAAAGAAAAAGGCATAGCTGAAATTGGCATAAAAGTTATGTCCCATGGCTGATGTTGCTGCTGTTTGATGCTTGCTGTCAAATTGTAGAAAAGCAAGACATGAATCCCAGAGTAATTTTCTATGTGTGCATTTGCCAACAAATAAGGCTGAGTCTAGTTGGAACTTTGGGTTGTTCAGAAATGGTAGAAACATAATCAGTTTGTGTTCTATCTTCCATCGCGAGTTCTTGAGTTGGTAGAAGCTTAAACTGTTTTTACACCTCTTGCTTGATAATCAGACCCAGACTGCATGTTCTGCAGATATACTGACATATTCTATGACAAGCCTTGAGGGCTTCTAGCATGAATTAAGAGGAAAACCCTAGAGTGGTATTGACATTTCATTTTTGGAAAAGCCAGAGAAGGCATAAGGAGCATGGCTGGATTGCAGGCTGGGGTAGCTTCTTCACCTGGGCTCTGTTATCATTTTCCACAGCACCATTTGCTGCCACACCCTGAAATGCATTCTTTGATGGTAGAACTTGCTCGCCATTTAAATTCCATGTGCCTATGACTTATTCTAAGGATACCCTGAGTGCATTGTGTTTGCAGCTCTTGTGCAGTCGGATCTCTGCCACTTTTCCTGTAATTGTCAACCATCTTGGTTGCCCAATGAGAAGCAGCTTGATATATGCATCAAGCCAACTCATTTTCTCTGTTTTCATGCCTAATTCCCCAAAATAAGTTTATTCCTCACAGTATATAAGTAGATATTTTATATATATCTGACATATCATACGCCTGAAAAATCTGATATACGTGTACAACAATGAAAATAAACATTAGACCAAAAATAAATAAATAAAAATAAAAAAGAGATAAGGCTTTGTTCCTAGCTAATTATATGATCTTAAGTAAATAAATAATGTATCTTCTTTGGGCTTCTCATTTCTCATCTTTAAAATTCGTAAACAAAAAAGTGAAAAGACAAAAATAAAAAAGAAGAAAAAAATTAAAAATCCACAAACAAGATAACAACATGGCACAAGTATACATATGTAACAAACCTGCACGTTATGCACATGTACCCTACAACTTAAAGTATAATAATAATAAATAAATTAAAAAAAAATAAAATAAAAAAAATAAAAATAGATAGTCTGTAAAAAGTATTTGAAAACTATCAAGTCCTATATAAATGGGGACTGTCTTAGTCTGTTTTGTGTTGGTATAAAACAGGGGTGTTCAATGTTTTGGTTTCCCTGGGCTACACTGGAAGAACAATTGTCTTTGGCCATACATAAAATACACTAAAATTAATGATAGCTGATGAGCTTAAAACAAAATCACAAAACAATCTCATAATGTTTTAAGAAAATTTACAAATTTGTGTTGGGCCATATTCAAAGCCATTCTGGGCTGCCTGTGGCTGTGGGTGAGATAAGCTTGCTATAAAAGAGTATCTCAGGCTGGGTAACTTATAAAGAAAAGAGGTTTGTTTGGCTCACAGTTCTGCAGGCTGTACAAGAAGCATGGTGCCAGCATCTGCTACTGGTGAGGGCCTCAGGGATCTTCTAATCATGGTGGAAGGTGAAGGGGGAGCAGGTGTCACACAGCAAGAGAAGAGAAAAAGAAAAAGGCGGAGGTGCCAGGCCCTTTTTAACATTCTCATGGGAACTCATAAAGCAGAGATGGCAACAAGCCATTCATGAGTGACCCACCCCCATGACATAAACACCTCCCACCAGGCCCCACTTCCAACAGGAGGGTTCAAATTTCAACATGCGGTTTGGAGGGAACAAATATCCAAACAATATCCAGGGGCAGTATTTTAGTACTTGCTTTGAACTGAGAACATCACTAGGAGAGATGAAAAAATGAAGGGCACGGTACCTGCCTTCATGAGATTGGTAATTTCCACAGGAATATCACACATAAACACATATAAGAACTAGCCATGTGAGTCATTATATGCTCGCGCACATAATGTAGGCAGGCGGTCTACACCATGATCATAGTTGAAAACAATTGAAATCTTATAAACATTAAATTGCTACCCAAGCATAAGGTGTTATTATTAATGATAAACATGATCATCGTTTTACCATTTCCATATGACACTGATTATTTTAGAGATTGTTGCCATTCTTCTTGATGTCCTAGCTTAGGTTCAAGATAAAACTACATACGTGTCATTTATTTAGTGCCTTTATATATCTTGCTTACCACTATATCCCAATACCTAAAACAATGTCTGAAGGTATATCATGGAATGAATGGATGAGTCAGTTAATCAGTGAGAAAAGAAGCTGCTTTTTTGGGGGGCCCACCCATGTATTTTGTAATTCTGGAGAAAAAAAATAAAGCTGGTCTGGACACACACATACATATTAGCTTCATCATACAAAAAGACATATTGACATTGAAGACAGCAAGTACAGGGGCCTGGTAGTTATCTGAAAAAGCTGTCTAGATAACTGTTAATCTCCTGCATCCATTGAGAACCATTAGTCTAATGTACCAAGGACTCTGTGTCTCTACCATGGTGCAGCAGGGAGATGAAAACCTTTCATGGACAGTTTCCTGCCTTGTAACTTTCTCTGATTCCTTACAGCCACCTAGAACTCATGCTATTAAGACACTTGCACAAGGTTACTATGTGAATTTAGGTCTGATTGAATCGTTAATTGTTTTAACCAGGATATTGTTCTAAAAGCAGTTGGAGGGATGTAAAGCAAAATCTTTACCCATTGGTGTTCACCTAATGCTGGTCTTGATCAGTCTAAATGGAGTTGTTTTCCAGGAAGATAAACTACTCGAATCAGTTTCAATGTAATAGTTAACCCCTCAGGCCAGAGCACATGGTTGTCATTGTGCAGCTGCACTGATAGAATGGTTTGGCCCGTCTGAATGTTTGTCCTATTTCTACATAATTGCTGACCACCCATAATCTGCAAGGAATAATCAATTTTTTCTTTTCTTCTGATTGTCTAAGAAACAAAAGCTGCCCTTCCTTCCTTATTTCAAAGTTTGACAGAAAGCAAAAGGTGAAGAATAAAAGCGCCTTGCATTGTCTAACATCTACCGCAGTGTTTGAGCTGCAGCTGCTCCTCCTCCCGTGATTGTTTTCAAATATTTCCTCAAAAAAGGCATTAAAGAAAAACACAAGATATTACACGGGGAACCAAAACAAATCACAATCTTCAAGGACAAAGCATTGCAAAATGGCTTACATCCCCAAATGGGAACAGATATGGCTGGAAATTAAAACAATCTTTTTTATTTTAAGTGGAAATGCTAGCAGATGCCACAAGAAACATATGGAACTCACCACAGACAAATAGGGAACGCTTTCTACGTGTGGAAGTAGAGCAAAGGGAGTGACCACCTCTGACTGTCAGGGGAACCATCAGCTCGAACTGTTTGCTATGGCAGGAGGGAGTTTGCAGAGTCTGGGGTCCTGCCCTCATGGAAAAGCTTTAACGATCTTGACTGCGTAATTTAAGTCATTCTTGTCAGGGAGTTTCAGAACACTATTCACAATTATATTTATTTCAAAATGCATTGATCCCAGATATCTTTTTAAATGTGCTCACCACTGAATTTGTGCATTGTTACATATTCCCTCTTTGAACCTCTGAATGAAACAAAATAAATAGGAAAAAATGGAGACATAGAAGCACTGTCCACAAGGCATCTCCCACTCTAGAGGTCTCCCAGCCCCATGCTAGCTTGTTAATTTTTTGTTATAGCTTGTCTGTCAAACAAGGAAGATATAATTCTCCACACAACATATTTTTCTAAAGCAATGTTTTTGTACAATTTCCTGATTTCCAAAAATATGACCAACAGTATTCTGGTTGAGTTTTGTTGTTGTTGTTGTTTTAATTTCTCTGAAAATGGCAGTGATATAGTAAATGTTCCCTTGCCCATGTACCACGTGGAATAATTTTACTGTGAGACTCAGAGAAGGCAATCACAAGCCAGCTTTCCTTAAGTAGTATTTATCCTTTCCAAATAGTTCACTGGGGGGCGTGACAGGAATAAAATGCTTTCTATATACAAAAGTATTGTTTCTAAAGATGAAAAAGCCCTGAAATCCTGACTGACATTCAAGTTGGAGGTACTGTGAATATGTGGAAAAATAGGATTTTACACAGTGACAACACCAATAAGCGTTCTGAAAGGCATGCTTGCAATGAAAGAGCTCCGTTTGGAACAATCCAGATTGTGGGCTAAAATGGTCTCCATGTGGCAGAGTATATTTGTGAATGAAGTGCCTGTCAATGAGGAGAAATCAATTTTAACAGCTCATTTATTGATGAAACCAAGTCTAGTCTCAGCAGTTAAAGTGCTTTCTTGGAACAAGAACTAGAGGATTCATCTGTCTCACCTTAACGGATGAAAGAAAAGCTTCTCATAAAAAATGTTATGGCTCCTCTGCCACTGGAGCTTGGATGAGCTAATATTTGATAATTAGTTAACAGGGCAGTTGGGAAACGTAGAACGCCTGCTCTTTCCCATGCTTGTTGGATTCTGTGGGGTAAGGATCATTCAAATATGCCTAAAAATGAATGTTGTAATGGTTGTATTCTGGAATTATTGATCTTTCTAACACTGCCAAACTTCTTTAACTCTGTTTTTGATTTGACGACTCTGGTTTATTTACCATCCCAACACTGTGCCTGGCTTTTTCCAGGCCTGAACTCACACACAGCTCATGGGAATGGCACCCTGTGGAGTTGTGCAGTACTCAGCTGGGTGCACTGTCCCTGTGTAGGTCGCCTCCTCCCTCAGGCTGGATACACACTTGCCTTCCTTCCTAGTTGAAATCCTGCTCTTTCCGCTCCTGGTTCCAGCTCTTCTGTGAAGCCCTTCCCCACTCTAACAGATCGTAGCCATAACTCTTCTCTTGTATCTGTGATGACCTCAGTCACCACTTGGAATTGACCATGTTTTGTTAGCTGTGTACATGTGTCTGTTGAGAGACATGATACGAGGTGATTGGAAGCTTCAAGGCAAAGTTGGAATGCTCTTTTCAATTCCCATAATGCACAAGTGTTTGCCGCTTTGATTCCTGGCACTATGCCAAAAATTGAGGCATCATTCTTGATCTTTCTCTCTTTATTACCTACCTCTCTTCAAAGAACAAGTCCAGGCAGCTCTATGACCAAAATACATTGATAGTCTTACCTCTTTTCACCACCTCATTGGCTATCTTCTTAGACCAAGCCACCATCCTTTCTCACCTAGACAAGCCACCATCCTTTCTCACTTCAACAGCTGCCATTTCCCCCACAACTAGCTTCTTGCTTTTACCCTTTTCCCTCAATAATCCATCTTCCACATAGTATATATTTTCTCCCTCACCGCTGTTTAAAATATACCATTAGCTTTTCATTGCAATTCACATAAAATCCAAAAATTGCATAGTTTATATTTGTCATTTTGTACCTGCCTAGAATCTGAATCTCCCTTTCTACTTGGGTAAGCACTCACCACTGTATGAGCTTAGTGAGAGGTAAGACTGTGCTTTCTGTAGTGAGTTAATTTAAGCACTGGTGGTGACTTAATTGCTTTCTCAATTCGATTCCACAGGGGACTATGTTAAATGAAGTTGAGAGGGATATACCTTGGCAAAATAAAAAGTGGGGAGTTCAAATTCTTTTTTCTCCTCTGTGAGTGTCTAGAAGGTCTTCATTCATTAAGGACTTGAGAAACACGCTGTTGAAATGGTACTATCATCTTTGAAAAACATACTAGTGCCTCTCTTCTGTGAGCCCTGAAGTGAAAATACGATCCCTCATTTCAGTGTGGCTAGAAGGATTCTAGAGTGGAAGAGACCAACCAGCAATGGATAATGGTCAGAGGCGAAGAGGGGAGGGTGAGCATGATAGGCTATACGTCCTGCCTGGGATGTGCAACATTGTTAATTGAGGATGGATCTTAAGACTGAGGTGGGAGAGGAGAAAGACAGAGATTCCTTTAAGTCCTCTTTTGTATTAGAAATTCTCTTTCTGTTAAGTAGAAAACAGAACTTTAGGATTCATGGAAAGAGGCCTGTTGAACCACATTGAGAGATGTAAAAGCTCCTCATCCTATTCCCAGAATTGTGCTCATTCTGGAAACCTTTAAGTGAAGGGAAAAGGCAGAATCCTTGAAGACCCTGAAATACAATCACAAGTAGGGACAATAAAACATCCTTCTCGCTTTCCTCAAGGAAACACAAGACTTTAAATTAGAGCAACCATCCACTGAAGCAATGGAAATACCCAACTATTCTACTGGTCATTAGACCTTGGGTTGAGCTAACATTAACTTCTGGTGCTTCAAGCAATACTGCAGTCCACCAGGCAAAAGGAAGAATTGTAGAGGGTCAATAATTCAGTTGATGAATATTTATTGACCAACTACTGTCTGATAAGGATTGTTCTAAATGAAGAAAATATACTGGTGAGCAAGACGGAGTACTTGTGAAGCTTATAGTAGAGTAGAGAGCTAATAAATAAACAAACAAATTATTTTCAGGACAAATAGATGCTCTAAAATGGACAAAAGAAGGAACATAGTGAAGAGTGACTTAAAGGCAGCTGTTGAGTCCTGAATCCAGTGGCCCAAATTATGAAGAAGAGACAGTCATGGAAGAGAGTTCCAAACAAAGAAAACAGGACCCTGAGATGAAACAAACGTGTCTTAGTCTTCAGGGAGAAAAATGAGGACAGTGTAGGTTGCAGTATATTGAAGATGGTGGAAACAGAAATAATTGATATCAGAATCATACAGGAGCCAGGAGAATCTTATAGGCTACAATAAAGAGTTTGGATTTCATTCTGGTTGAAGTAAAAAGCCATTTGAGAACTTTATGCACAGGAGTGACATGATTTGATTTATGTTTAGAAAAATTACCTTTGATTCTGGGTAGAGTAATGCAAAAATTGGTGAAAACTGAAAACTGTTTATGAGCCTATGATGCTAGTCAAAGAAGAGATGATGGTGGTATAGACAAGTGTCACAGGAGTGGCGATTGTGGAATGTAATCAAATTTGGGGTACACTTTGTAGTAGAATTTATAGAACTTATGGATGAATTAAATGTGAACACAGGAGTGGAATAAAGTATAAAATCAAGATTTCTAGTCTGAGGTACTAGGTAGATGGTGGAAGTCTTGCTTGGGAAAGAACAGGTTTGCTGAGTGGAGAACAAAAATGAACTGCTCTCTTTTATTAGTTTAAGATGCTTATTAACATCCAAATGGAGATAATTAGTAGCCAGGAGAATATATGAGCTCAAGGAGAAGTTCAGGCATGTATGTACATGTAGGTATATAGGTATATACACATACACACATACAAAATAATATTACAAAAGTGACCTTGCATAATTAGAGACTTGAAAATGCACAGGCATAGTGATTTTTATAACATTCTAGTTTCCTGTTCCACTGTCACTTGTTGATGGATCTTGGAGCATAATATATTACTGTTTGATTAATCAAATAGTGACTTTCATTTTAGTTGCTGTTTCAGATGTGATTTCCTTACTAAAGCAAATTAGTGCATCCCTGGCACCTGGTATACAGTATGAAGTAAAAAAATACTTTTTCTTAGTCTCATTAAACAAAGAACACTAGAATTCATTTGTTTTCACCTGGAAAGGATTACAGATTTGTCAGAAGTTATTACTTTACCTCTAACTGTGGGCCACAATATGGGCCAGTGACATTGATCTTCTCTCCACCCCACACAGCATCATGCTGGTTCAGTAAGTTTGCAGTGTTTTGCTGCAGTGAAAGTAGCAGATCTAGATGCATCAAGAAGACACGTACAATCCAGAGGCTCTACCATAAATTCCATGAAAATATAGGGCACAACTACCTTAGTAACATTATTGCACCTGACAAAACAGCATATCTTTGCACTCCATACCACTAAGAGGTGGTCTCTCCAGATTTTGGAGGTATTTTAGCAGTCTCCCCTTGTCCATAAAAAATATATTCCAAGACCCTTAGTGGATGCCTGAAGCCCTGGATAGTACCAAACCAGATTGCCATCAGGTGGAACGCCTTTCTGTTCATGTCTTCCACCCACAAATTTTACACCTTTTCCATCTTAACTAAGCACTTTTCATGCACTGTGACTGTAACTTTTGCAGTTTGAGGTGTGACAGCAAAACTAGTACAAATTTCTATTTCCTTCGTCACAATTCCACAGATAGAAGACTTGTTCTTACTATAGATCTTAGCAACCTCAGCGTGCGATTTTCTTTCTTTCCTCCTCAAGTCAAGAACTTTCATTTTTTCACTTAAGGGAAGCACTTTATATCTTCTTTTTGGCATATCTGAATTTCCAGCATTACTACTCTTGTGCTTTGGGCCATTATTAAGTAAAATAAGGATTACTTGAACACAGCACTGCGATACCACGACAATTGATATGATAATCGAGACGACTTCTAAGTGACTCACGGGTGGGTAGTGTAGACAGCATGGAGATGCTGGGAGAAGGGAGGATTCGTGTCCTGGGTTGGGTGGAGCAGGACAGCCCAAGATGTCATCATGCTTCTTAGAATGGCACACAATCTACAACTCACGAATTACTTATCTCTGGAATTTTTCATTTAATATTTTCTGACCGTAGTTGACCGTGGGTAACTGAAACCACAGAAAGCAAAACCATAAATAAGTGTGGGTCTACTGTACATGAAACATTTGTGTGTTCCAGTCTTACCCACTTATAAGGTGAACTGAAAGTCTTGAGCAGGGACTAGAGCAGGAGGTTGGCCAATGGAATCTGGGTCACAAGCCATTTTATTACTTAGTCCTCATGGCTGAGCAGAATTCTGGTGCTTTAAGTGTCTTGGAAAAT